AGCGGAGCGCACGGCAATGGCGGGAGGAAGCGTTGCCACAAGTGGAGGGGGGCGGGCGGGGAATCTGTGGAGGGTGGAAGCGGAGAACGTCGGGTCGCAGTCGCGGCGGCGATGGCGGCGGCGGTGGCGATGGCGATGGCGATGGCGATGGCGGTGGCGATGGCGAAGGCAAAGGGCCGAAAGCGACCCGAAGGGCGAAGCAAAGTCCCGTCAACGGCGTTCGCTCTGAGCAGAGCCTCCCGGGCCTTAGTCCGTGAGTGGCCCCCAGTTATGCTCTTGGCTTCGTTGTGGCAGATGCCCACTTGTCGCCAGCAATTGGTTAGGCACTCGACGCAGCGCATTGTGAATGATGTTAATCGACTCCGGTGCCAACGTGGGAAGTTGATAGGATTGGCAAGGCGGCCCAAGTCGGTAGACATTCCGGTGGAGCGTTGCGTTCCGGAGAATCCCAATGCCAGCTTGACTGTGCCCCCTTACGACAAGGAGAAGGTGAGGATAAGCCCTAGCGGCAGTAGCTCACGTTGGGGCGGGTAAATCTTCCCTGGTAGGTTTCTATATGTAATCGGGCGGCTTTCAGTCCATTGGCACAATATTCAACGCACATAAGAGGTGTAGGGCAGTGTGGTAAGGTGAGAAAACATGGTTTAGCAGGAGCAAGATATGGCATGACACGAACATTAACACTGTGTCTCCTAATGATATGCAAATGCACTTTTCAATCTCTCGGGAGAATGAATGTCTGTTGCCTGTAGACGCAAAAACTCCTCGACCGATTTCGCTGAAATTTTCACACTTTTTTGATATTAGTATGGGGAGTATTTAAAAAGAGGGTTTGAATAAAATCGGACATGTGGGGGCGTTACTTTTGAAAAGTGAATCAACTAGGGAAATCAAACATGCTCGGCGATCATTTTGGCAAACGAGTATTTCGCCTGGAGTAAATGCGCGTGCTGGCGTGCATGCATCTTTACGGCTTCATGACTGTTCGGAAGAAGATCGGCGAGTAAGTTGGCAGTAATCAGTAACTGGTGATTTCAGTTTTGTGCGAGTTTAATTTCATCATGCGTGTCGTTGGCGGTTAATTGGAAGGGTTTAAAGCAACAAGCAAATTCACGTGCAGGGAACAGAGCCAAGAGGGAAATAGTGCGATGACCCAGACGCAAGGTGAATCTGAAAATTGATTTTTCTAAGTACCTGAGGAAGACTGATCAGCAAGGTAGTGTTTATTTCCATCTTTCTTGGATACACGCTGCTGCAGGGGTTATCAAAATTATCCAAGGCAACAATAGTTTGCACGTTATGTCAACACGACATTACAGCAGCTTTTTCTTTCTGTCATTTTATTATTATTATTATTATTATTATTATTATTATTATTATTATTGTTGTTGTTGTTATTTGGCGAATTGGCCATCATGAGGACGCGCGATGTGTGCATTCCACACGGGCTCAGATTTGATTATCGTTGTAGGTGCCCGGTACTTTTTCTATAGGGAGAATTTTTATACCCCAGAGTTGTTATCCCTGGGCGATGGGATGAAATTATGATGATGATGATGAATGATGAAATAGACGCACACAAACATAGAGCGACGCACAACCATACCCGAGGCGGGAATCGAATGCGCGATCTTCTGCTCCGAGAGCGCTACGGCACTATTGCCTAAAAAGAATTCGGCCATCAAATCGTCTTTATTATTATTATTATTATTATTATTATTCAGCTACTTGAATAAATCATTATAAACCTGCCAAGAGCCCTCTGCCTCCACAACAAATTCCACATGGAGTGTGCGTCAGTGGAAGTCGGGAAGCGAGCGTGCTGGCCATCTTTACCCAGAGACCGTGCTCGCGTGCGGAGCGTTGGCGGGGTTTCTGAGAGCGGGACGAAGGTAGTGCGTGAGAGCGACGTGGTACGGGGCGGAGCGCGGTGGTGCAGAGCGGAGCAGGGCGGAGGCTGGCGCGGCTGCAGGCGGTCAGGTATCACTCAAGGCGCCCTCGAAATGAAGGGCCGTTCGCTTCGCGCGGATGTTCCCCGACGGGCTCGTTGGCCGCCTGCTGCTCCACGGCGCCCCGCGCCGCGCCGCACTGCCCGGAGGCATCCCTTCAATTGGGGTTATCTGGCGATCTCTTCTCTCCCGCGGGCTCCTGCCGAATCTGCCCCGACTCCTCCCGTCTCCCTCCACCTGGTGAGCTCCGCATGAGCGCACCCCTCTCATCACCCGCCCCCGCCCCGCCCCTCTCGCGACCTGTGGATCGCCGTTGAGGCGCTCGTGCTCTGCCGGATTCTTCTCCGAAGGTCTGTCCTTATTCGCTTGTGTTATCTTGTTTAGTGGGACGGTAGATGGGAGTTACGAATCGCAATGCAGCGTTGTATCTAACAATCAGTAATGTGGTCGGTCGTTTCAGATGTTGTGCCAACCGTGCCGCATGAATGTACCTGCTAGCATTCATATATCCTCATGAAGCTTGCCCTCTCTCACCGAATCTTCCCGATTCATGCCGATCTATACGATGTTCGTGATGTAACAACAAAAACGTAAGGTTGTATATGATCCAGCAGAGCAGCCAGTGAGGAGCCTTTCATCTTATTTTGAATGTAGGTTCCTCTGACCCTCTATTTGAAACATGACAAGATTCACTTCATCAGAGAACCCTCTAGCTTTAGTACCATAATCATACCTACCTTCCTTCCCAATTTCTTTTCCACTGCCTGCTCTCTCTCCCCCTCCCCTCCCTCTTGTCTTCAGTTTACTCCCTTTGTCTCTCTCTCTCTCGCCCCCCTCTGTTTCCTCTCTACGTGTCTTCATTCTACCTATCTCTTATCTATTTTTCTCTCCATTTGCCCCTGCCCCCCTCTGCTTCACTCATTCTTCACTATTTTTCTGTGCCTCTCTTTCTTCTCTCTCTCTCTCTCTCTCTCTCTCTCTCTCTCTCTCTCTCTCTCTCTCTCTTTCTCCCATCCTTTGGCTCCGGCCGGCGCTGTTCCACCCACCGCAATCCCCCATCCGCGCGGAGCCAACCCCTGAACACGCGCAGCACCGCGTCCCCCTCGCTTTACAGTCCTTTGTTTTTGTTTAGGCGCGTAATGCGACTTGCACACGCAGCGCCCGTTTGTGTTTGCGGTGATTTGATTTGTCTGTGTCATCAGCATTGCATTAGGTGCCCTAATAGTATTCTTTTTTGTTCGATTCTTTGTCGTTTTTGGGGCTGGCGTCATGGCAAACGAGGTCCCTGTGCGAACGGATTGTCCGCAATGGGCGCTGTATAACTGCTATAAAAGTGGGATAATTGAAATATGATCTGGTATAGACGGTTGTGGTGTCATCAAAACCATTTTTTGAAGCGTTTGTTTTAAATTATTAATGAGCTTGAAAAACGAAATGAATTTGACGTATGTAGTTTGTTCGGGAAGATATAATGATTGATAAAACCACTGTATACAATTATTTACCAATTCATTCCTTTTTTGTTTCCAAAATGTACACGTTGTGCTCTAGAACTGCTAATTTGTTGTTGCAATGAATTGGGTTCGGATTCAACATTAAGTATTAATCAGTTATGCGAGATTTAAATTTTAATTCGTAATATGATTGAACCTGTAGAAATGTGCTTGCAGTGTTGGTTACATTTGCATTATTGTGTAATATGTATACCTAGCATGAGAAACAATATGTTCGAATCAATTTCCGAAAAAATCCGTAATGTTTAGATGGATTAATAATCTTAGGTACCCTTCATACTATATTAATACATTTCAGTTTACTCAAAATCAATTTGAATGCGGGATGTATAGCCATGTAATGATGCTGAAACTATTACTCCATATTTACTCATGTTAAAGTAGGAAAGAGGTCTTGGAGCTGTTTGTGACCTAAATATTTTAAAACTTTAACGTTTGAAATGTCAAAAATAATTACATTTTATTCCATTTTTAACTTAGTCGAACTTGGGTAATTTGATGCCTGGAAACTTGAAAAATATCCTACTTTTATAATATTCCATTGCCCCGCAAACTGCAAAATTAGATATCCTCGTAAGATAATCCCTTATTAGGAAATCGCTCAGATCAAATTAGAAAATGTAACGTAAAATATTTTAAGAATGGTGGCACCTAAAGTCTTTTGGAATTGAAAGAAGGATTTGGTTTCTCATTTGAACTCTACTGATGTTATTAACCTAGTAGTCAATTTGCAATAGTAGCAGCAACATTTCGCTGAAATTGATACTAGGCAAACGATAAATCACGGAGGCTCCGAACATCTCGAAATGATATATGTCACAGATCTTTGCGATCATTTAGCAATGTGTAATAATTTAATTAATTTGAACTTAAACTTCAACAACGATCGAGAAAAACGTTTATTTTGATTTCCATGTTCATTTCTGGTAGCTCGAAACCTTATTTAAATCTCTATAATTCTAAAAATGTAAAGCTATTTTTTTTAATTTTAGTTTAAATTAAGTTATTATTATTATTATTATTATTATTATTATTATTATTATTATTATTATTATTATTATTATTTGCTTCTGTTTCGCAAATCGGCCATCATAGGGCCACGCAATACGTCCCACCGGGGCTCAAATTTCATTATCGGGGTATTTACACGTTACTTTTCTATAGGGAGTAATCAGCAATTTAATGCTGATTCCATTTTTATACCCCAAGGTTGTTAGCCCTGGGGGATGAGAAGAAATGATAATGATGATGATGATGATGATGATAAAATAGACGCTTACAAACATACAGAGACACAACACAACCATGCCCGAAGCGGGACTTTGAACCCGCGATCTTGTGGTTCAAGATCGCTACGACACTACTGCCTTAGCGATCTCGGTCATTGAATAAGCATTAATATTATTATTATTATTATTATTATTGTTGTTGTTGTTGTTGTTGTTGTATTTACTATTACTAGACGCAAAGTGTGCCTGTGGTGCGGAGCCGCTTTGAGGTGGCAGCGAGAGGCTAACGCGCGCGCCGTGTGTTGCAGGCCGAAGAGCGGCTCCATGCTGCTCTACTCCCGCAAGAAGGTGCGCTACCGGCGGGACGGCTACTGCTGGAAGAAGCGCAAGGACGGGAAGACCACCCGCGAGGACCACATGAAGCTCAAGGTGCAAGGCACCGAGGTACGACCGCGCTCTTTGCTAACATGCCCGCATGCCGATGCTCTTGGAACTAGTTGTTGGTTTGTGGCAAGCTGGGAGGCCACATTCGTGTAATTTTTTTTATTGTTTCGCTGATTGATCCAATGGTAATTAAGTAATTGTTTGTAGTAGTTATGAGTTTGTGAATTAATTACAAGTGTCAACTATCAAATTGTTTTTTTGTCATAATTCTTTGCTGACGTTGCTTCCAATCGTGCTGGAGCTCTCCAGAGCTTTAAAAATGATTTTATATTATTTTCTTATCGCCCCCTTTTATTGTGTAATCAAAATTTAATTTAACAAATTATTCACTGTAAATATAGACACATCCCCAAGGACTCCTAACTAGACGAAACATTATGATAAAATAAAAAATATTTTGAAATCTGAAACTTATAATTGGTCCACTAAGTCATATCTTCTAAATAGATTATTCGAGTAATTGTTGGACTAAAACCCAGTGAGAATAAGAATGAGACTCTTTGCCCCAATGAGAATCTTTGTTTACAAAATTGCTTGCCTCCTTAATCTTGCGCCATTGAAGGTTGGCACGGCCTCCCTGCTACGTTATGTCGATTGTGACGTGGTGGAATAGGACACGAAGATCTTCCCCACTCCGATTGATTGATTGATTCTCTCTGGTTTCTGGGCGCGTCAACGACTAAGCTCATCAATCGCATAAGCGTAGTGCATGTTTCGTCATGGGCGGTGGAGGAGATCCGAGTTGGATTGCGAGATCCCGCGTCGACCTGCATGTCGGCTGGCGTGTTTTCTCACAACCAGGAATCTCCCACCCGGGATGCACCGCCCCAGCCGGGACTAGCTCTAAGCTCCGGGACCGGTCGTCCGGCATGAGAGGTAGTGTAGTGCACATACGTGTGTGTGAGGGTGTGTGTGTGTGTGAGGGTGTGTGTGTGTGTGTGTGAGGGTGGGTGTGTACGGAAGGGGGTGAGGATAGAGAGAGGAGGGAAGAATCGTGGTTGGTGGGCCGTTTGTTAGAGTACGATAGCATTCGCTTGGCGTTGAACAGAGAAAACACGGAAAACTACCGATCCGAGAAGCTGGTCGCTACATTTCACATCCAGACAGCTGCTGTATTCGACCTAGGCATCTATCTTAAGTCGTAAATCCTGTCACCGTCAGGACTCGAAACCTAGGACCTACCAGTCAGTCACTGTTTGACATCAGGCGATGCCTTAGCCACTTAAGCTGATCGCCCCAGTACGGATTAGGGGATATAATGGGGAGACAATTTCATTCGCGATCTGTAGTATAGAGTTCTGTTCTGGCATTCGCCTGGAAGATATTAGGGAAACCACAGATCCTTCTGATCAAAGCAGTCAGCCGATGAATTCGATGTCTGCGCCCGGTACGAACTCCCCGATGTTTAAACACATTAAATGAATTTGCTACTTTCTGTGATAAAGCTGGCATCCGCTCTACCACTGATACGCTCGAGCAGGCGAAATTAGTAACAAAAATCGCTTCTGAAGTTACAATGATTCGCCGCGCGATTTACAGTTTAAAAACAAACTTCTCCTCTGATGTGAGATTTTAAATTATCATATTTACAAATGCGACCATCTCATCTCTCTATGCGCGGACATAGATATGCTTCCACAAATCTCATTTGCCATCACTCGACGAGAAGTGGATAAAATGCTTTTCGTGAGGGAAAAAAACACCTTTCCGTTCAAAAATAAACGATTTTGCGCGGTTTCAAAATGGAAGTCTGTTCGTACGTTTTCGTCCGGTGGTACGCACGAACCACCTGCTACACGGCCGCGCGGCCAGCGAGAAAAAATCCTCGCAGGCAGTTCCCTCCATCCTCATCACCTCACCTCGCCTGTCCGCAGCAATCCCTCTCCACTGCCACGCTTCGCTACAGTGCCTCAACCCCGCCTCTCGTCTCTCCCCACACTGCCGTCTCCCTCGCTCTGTCTCACCACGCTCTCCCCTCATTCCCAACTGGAACAACCCAGTCACCGAAACGTCATGGCCGACACGCCTCTCCCACCGCGGTAGATCTGAATCGCCATCTGCGCGCGCCACCCCACATGCTCGTCCCCACCTCGTTCTATGCGCCACGTCCCTTTACGGTAGCTACGCGCCGACCAGCTACTCCCCGCTCCCTAGTCTGCGACGACCCGACACTTTCCGCCACCCCGCGCCATTACGGAGCCCGCACCACATCCGCCTTCCGCCTTACTCGCTTCAGATATTTATTTCCGTATACACATCACGTAAGGTGAACGACCTTCCTATGCTTCACTATTAAAGGCCTCTTTAGACTGGCCGCCTCCTGCCTCCTCTCGATTTCTTCACCGGCCATCCCACTTCCGCAAGCGCGTCGCGCGCGCGGACGATCTCTGCTTTGCCTTCAGGAATTCAACGAATATGGACGCAAAGTTAATTCGCGACGATTTGCATTTCGCGTCCATCAGGAAAGAGGCGCGACGGCGTGGCTGGGCGGGGGCGAGGCACGGCGGGGGGCGGGCACAGCGGGGCGGGAGGGGCGAAGAGGAGGAGGAGGTGGGTTGGTTCCGCGCCGGCAGCGGCGAGAACGCAGCCCGTTGTGCTCACAAATCTAATATTTGCCGCCCTCGGCCAGGCTGCCACCGCCGCCCTCGCCCCGCCCCGGCCCCCGCAGCCCGAGCGCCGACCCAGCGGCTGCTTGTTTACCCTGCGTCTGGGGCAGCGGCGGTGGGGATTCTGGGAAGGGAAAGGGAATCTGGAGGGAGAGGTGGGTTCGAGGGACGGGGTATTGATGGCGATGCTGTCGGTTGAGATACTGGCGGAAAGTAAAGTGACTTTGAGGAAACCATTGCTGACGTGAGACTTGAGGAATTTAAGAATGAGGTATAGATATATGGTGCTGACTACATTTGGAATGTATAAGAAAGTGCTTGTAATTGTCATCTTGGCGTAATTGTTGTAATGGCGGTAACAGTACTTTTGTATTAAATAACTATGGGGTTCTTTTGCGATTATGTTATCCGATTTCACTGATAGGTCTGGAACCAGTTCTGATCTTGTATGGATCTGACATACCGGTTGTTTTAACACCGCAAAGTTGAAAGGCAACACAAAACATAGGGAGAGGCGAATGAATAAAAACTGATTTACCACGTGCTGAAGTAGGCGTAACAGAGCTGATTAGAGGAGAAAGATGTGGTGGAAGAGTTGCGGTGGCAATGCCGTAACCGAACGGGAAGGCGGATTGGGCTGTGGCTTCGGGTGAGTTTGCAATAACTGCTACAGACGCTGAGTGCGCGGTGTCGGCGGAGGCAGAGGCGGCGTCGGTCGGCGGCAGCGACCCACACACAGCGGTCGCCGCTGAGCAGACGTAATTAATAACGTTACCGTGGCAACGCGGAGATGCGCGGGTTGAGATGGGCGAAAGCCCGGCCTACCGGGGTCGTGGAGGCTACTGGATGTTTGTCTCTCTCTCATTCTCCCTCCCCCTCTCTCTCTCTCTCTCTCTCTCTCTCTCTCTCTCTCTCTCGATTACATGCGTCACCACCGTTGTTTGCTTTGCGCTTCTGAAAACGTTCGGCGTTTAGCGTTCTCTCGTCGCTCTTCCCTTGCTCAAAGCCGTGGTCTCTTCGTGTTTTTTTGATTCCAGCGCGACCTACGCGCTCAACCCGTCGTGTGCATTCGGAGAAGCGCAGCCTGACCGAATTCATAGAAGCATACTCAATTACATAATGTTGCTGGGTTGTATTTGTACCTGAGCCAATTCCGAAAACCGCGAACATTACTGTGGCGCGCCAGAAAAGTCTTTCCGCAGTAGCACTTTGCTAGTGAGTGTGCTTGCAACAGAAATTATGTTGGTAGCACGAGCTGCAGCTTGCAACAAAATAAAACGTAAATTGCATATTCGCCACAATCATAACAGGTGCTGGAATTTGCTGTCCCCTTCTCTTGTTTCCCAGTGAACTGGTTGCTACCAACAGAAATGTAATTTTTAATAGGAGATCCTGATTCGCCTCGTTGCGGAGAGTCTATCCTGGCGTACTGTTTAATGTAGCGATGAGGCATGCTCATGGCACTAAGATTGCGGGTCCAATCCAAGTAGGGTACTTCATATATTTTGAAGTGCTTTACTCTTGTATCCTTAAACACGGCGATGAAAAGCCGCTCCTAACAGCCGACTTAGATTATGCATTTTTACTAGCTACCGAATGAAATGGAGCTAAAGTATACTTCTAAGAAAAGATAATTTTGTTGTCAGTGATTTCTTGTTTGGCATTGCGAAAATGATTGAACGATACACGACCGATATGACAAATAACAGACTTGATTGATTAGAAATCCCGGCTAACTGCTCGGTTTGAAAACTTCAACTGCGTCCGTAATTGCTCTAAACGACCTAACAATGATAACATTACTCTGATGGTGAACCCCCTCTCAGGGTCTCATTTTAGTTCGACTGCTCTGGTGGTTTCCGTGGTTTGGGTGATCATTTTCCAGACGAGTGACGGATCAGTACCCAATACAACGGGTCACGGACAGCGTGCCTCCATTTATGAAGGAAGTTTTTCGACAAAGGTCTGTGTTATGGATGAATGAATGGAACAACAAGCCCCGAGTGGACATGAATTTAACGGTAGGTTATCGGAAAAAGAGAAAGTGGTATTCGTACTACAGTGAAATGTGGTTAATCACAGCAGTTAATTGCCTCTTTTACTAAATAAAATATTAAATTCGTGATGCGATGACTTCGTAAATTCACTTTCACACTCACAAAATGCCTGTACAAACATACAAAATACTTAACCTGTAATGTTCGGTTTATTTTATACATTTCATAAAATTTGGCATCGATTTCTCTCATTTCTTGCATAGAACACGCCGATGGGCGTTAATACTTCCATAATGGAGACAACACTTCTTTCAAGACGTTATATGGTATCGTATTTCATGTATTTAGATACTTATAAAGTAAAACGTATTATGACAAATCATGTAACGTTTATGTG